CTCAAAGTCAATGAAGTGAATGCAGCCCTTCATTTAAGAATGAGAGGGATTCACAGATAACTCAATAGTCCTGTCACAGCTGCAGAGATATTTTTTCCTTTCGTTATCTAATTACTAGGGACATGGTCTCCCTTGAACTTTGCATGAGCAATGAATCAGTTGGTCACTGTGGAAAAAAAAATCACTGTAGTGGATCATTAGTCTCATTATCTTCTGGGGTCACAACTTCTCCTCATCTGCTGTAGCAGAGTCTTATTTCCAATCCATCCATCTTACTAATCAACCTTCTTTTCATTCCTGGTATACTCTGTGGTAACATCTATGTGTTTAAAGGTTTGATTTCTCCTCTAGAACCTCCTAGCCCTACCCTCTAAGTCAATTATTGTTCATGTAGTATCCTGCATCCTCCTCAACTGCTTAATATTAAGTCCCTTGTGCCCAGCCACCTTGCATTGATACCTGTACCTGGTATGCTTGAAGAGCAGGGCTTCCGTGGTGCCATGTTCTCCCCTAGAAAAATCAAATCTTTCCTGCTTTTAGGCACTGAGAAAATTCAGTCTTTGTCTTCCACAGGAAAGGTTCTTTGTGGTGTACTGAGTCCAATTGTGAATGTCTCATTCCACTGCCTAGTTTAACAGTCCTATTTACCCATGCTCTGCCTGTTCTTGTATACAGGGCATATAGCAGGGGATGATAGACTGTTGGATCTTTAAAAATAAAATCTTCTGGTTTTCACATTAGTTGGCATGGGAGCATTTGTTATAACAAAGCCTTAACACACTTGGAAGTTTCAGAAGACACCAGAGATAGCTCCTGAAGCCTTTGTGTGCCTTAACATGTAAAAGGTAAGTCCAGATGTAAGCCTGGACTCCAGTGAGACTTCACTGTTAGTTCAAGTGTATTTTATTTTTCAGCTTTTACTATACTAACCTAACTTCTCCTAAATGCTATTAAGATATTAAACAACAACAACAAAAAATCCATAAGGCTATTTGAAGACCCAAGAGCTATCATGTATACGTCAAAATGTAAAATTTCTACAAAAGATACAAGATTCATGGGAACTTTTTGCAACTTCAGAGCTATTTTTCTGGTGCTACTGGTCAATGTGATAAATGAGCAGATTGCTTTTTCTGAGAAAATGTTAACCTTCATGACCAGGACAGTATCAGAAGACAGATGTTTGTGCTTTTGCCCTACACTCGATTTGGTTGCGTTTCTCTTGCGTGGTTCTAAAATGTCCCCTCTCTTCCCCAGCTTTGCCATGAGGATTGTCTGGTATTTGATCCTTACAGTGATGACAAAAGAGGGCACACCCCGGCCCTCCTTGACAGAAGAAATGGGGAATCGGAATCTAAGTTTGATGTTTTGTTAATATGACTCTGGATATGAATTTGGGCAAACTGCTGAAAAGTAAGTTAGTCCCTGCAATGCACTGACCATTTCACATATTATCCTGAATTCTGCTCTGCTGCTGTTAATCTGAGCTTGCTTCTGGAAAAGCAATACTGCCTGATGCAGTCTGGTTTTGGAAGGAGTTGCTGTAGTCTGCTTTACAAACCATTACTGAAACAAAGAACAATACAAAATCACATAAAATGTGCTGCATCAGTTAAGTAGATGCAACATGATGAAAACAAATGAAACCATCTGAAAAGTGAGTTGAACAAATATTTCTGTTCTTCTTTTCTAACAATCACTATGTAGAGTAGGGTAGCAGCTTGTATTGTTAGGTACCACTCAAATACATACAGGCAAAACAAGAACAGTCCTTCAATATTAAAAAAAAAACATCATGGTGCCTGCATAAGCTAAATTCAAGACTTTTTATTGTCAAGAGGCACTACCATTACACTACATTTTAATATGGATCTGTGCCAACAATCATAAATAAAACACTCACTCATAAACTGTTCCTAAAGGCAGTGTGTCAGATGGTATTTCATTAAAAATAGTTTGCTACAATGCAGTAGAATACCACAGGCCATGTCAGTTGGGACTTTCTCTCCCTTGCGTACCTCTAGGTGTTTTACCAGTTCCCAAAAGACTTTTTAGTTAATGTATGTTGTGCCTACCAGGAGATCCTTTTTGATAACGGATGAAAAAAATTACAGCTAAAAGGTAGAGAAAATCAGTGTCATTTTCAAGACATGTCTAATGTGGGAACCCTGTAAAAGCTGTCAGGGCAAAAAAGTTGGAGAAGACAGAAAAAGTTGTAAATGAGTTACAGAATAGTGACAAGAAAAAAATATTGTTAACAACCTGGTGGTAAAGTGAAAATTGTATTTGCTAAACACCTTTAAAGATTAAATCCACAGGTGGCAACATAGTCAAATATACTGATCCCTGTTATGTAAATTCTGAAACTTTCATAAAACAGAAAATGTCACTTGACACTTGATACTCTTAAATTAAAAGTCTGCTGTATGGATGAAATAACTGGGCAGCCTTTCTCAAACTCGGTAAAAAGCATGTGAAATAAAAGAAAGAAACAGAAAGTCTCTGTTTACTAGACTGCTGTGGTGGTCATAGCAATAAACAGTTTTAAAAGGCTTTAATTTATAATGTAACCTCAGTTTTTTCTGGTCTCCAGACTGCTCCTGTATTCTCAGCAATTAGCAGCTCACTGCATACATTTGGAAGCGTAAGGCTGGATTACTTTTCCAGAAAGCTGCATTTAGTAACCCATTACAAGGCTGACATCACTGAAACAAAAGTTCAGTCATGTAGGGATATGGCAGAGGTTATCGTGCAGCACATTACTAATATACTGGGGGGAAAGATTATGTCAGCTGCCTGCTAGTGTCCACATCCAGGATGCAATCTCCCCAGGGGATAAACACTCTTGGCAAACACTGAAACCCAGAAATCTTCGCAAAGCTGTTTGCAATTTGCAGCCAAAGCGATCCACAAACGGTGGGACCCAAGACTACAGTCCTTGACAGCACACGGCTCCAGACATTTCCATAGGGGAAGTTTAATCTACAAGGATGTAGAAATATAAAACAAAGTTTTGCTCAAAGTAACTGTTTGTCAGATCATGTGCCTCTAATTTGGTTTCCAGTGACATTACACAGCTGCAACCAATGGACTCCAGCCAGGCCCAGCAGTCACTGAGGCTCTTTTGGGTTTAAATTTAGTATCTGAACATGTTTTGCCCATCATTAAAATGGAGAGTAATTGCTCAAAAGTGAACCATAAATGTTACAACTGCAAAGAACTTATTAGGTCAGCTAGTCCCATCTTCAGAGCAATGAAGGACTGAAAACACACTGCAACAAATAGTGAACAGAGCTGTGTTTGGTTTCGTTTTGTTTTTTTTTCCTATTTTTTTTTCCTTTATTGTAATCATTAATCAGTATATTCAAAAGTTTAAAAAACAACCACAAATGCCAGTGTAAACATGCTTCAGGTATATAAGTAATATAAAGTATTGCACATACAAAAGTCCTATGTTCAGTATCTCCTTATGGTGCTATTTCATCAGAGTAAGAGTTGTGCAGATGATGTGACTGTAAAGAGCTAGTTGATCTTATTTCACAAGCTGCTACACACAACAACTCAATATTTACAAAAAGTAGAAGCTCACTGTTTTTCATGGGAGGATGATTTTGCCTGGAATGCACAGGATACAGGAGTGTGCAAATATGGGATAGCCTTGCTTTGTGGTGCTAATTATCACCTGATCTCTCTAATCTCCAAGCGGTCAGCTTGAACTAATTTTGAGGAAGGGGTCTGTTAATGGTTTTCTGGGGGACTGGGAAGTGGTCAGGCCTCCCCGTCCTCAAAAAACAGAGGTGAAGCACCTCCATTTTCTGAGGGATGTGTCTCTTCTTCTCATTAAGTCTCATGGGCACACTGCATCTGATAATCTAAAGATTCCATAAAGGTCTTGCAAATTTGCCTTAGATATGAAGATGGAACCCACCTGCTCGGGTTTCCTAGCTCCACCTTGGATTTCACAGGTCAGCCTGCATGCAAGAAATGGTAAAACTGTAAGACGTCCTATCAGACTGACAGAAGTGACAATGTCTCATGGCTAGTCCTGTCCCAAGGTCTTAGTAAGCAGAAGGGAAGCTATGTAAAAGGAGCCAAGCAGTGGCAGAATGGATGAGGCCATTTGCTGATTAAGAAGCTGAGATGGATTGGAAGGAAAAGGAGCACAGAAGGAAAGTGTGGTAGGTTTCAGAAAATGAACAATCTCTCCTGAAGTTTACACAGTACAGTTAATTTCATACTGACAGGCAGCACAGGAAGACTTAAGCTTTCAGGCACAAATTTGCACAGATACAGAGCTTAGAGGCCCTGCTGAGATAAGGGCTATTTGCTAATAGAAGAGGAAGAATGAAGCCTCTCTTCTTCAGAATCCTTGATCCATAAAAAAAAGAATCCCAAATGTATATTTTTACCTCAGAATGTCCTTCTTTTTGTTCATGCATGGCTGGCTGGCATCCTATTTTTCTGCATAAACACAAATCCTGTCCACCTTCCCTGCTTGCTTAAGTAATAATTACATTCAGCCTTAAACTTTGCTGGAATCAATACTTTAAATATGCTGCCAGCTTGTAGACTGTAAAATAAAATTTTAAAAAAGGCAAAGATTTCTTTAGGCGAACAAAGCATTAGGGTCTATGGCACAAATTAAACAAAAGATGCAATGGCAGTAGCCATTCAATTTTAAGAAGCCATTTCAACAAAGTAGTAGGGTAATGGCAAAGAAAATTTATCCTAGCCAAAAACCCCCAAGCCTTCTCAATATCACCACTGTGGCTGTGATAATTTAAATCAATGTTTCACAATTGACTGTATCCTATGTCAGCTGTATAGATGCTAGCCATCAGCAATGGGTTGAGAAGGTAACTCATCTCCTGCTCTATACTGTATATGGGTGTGATACTGCCAGCTGTGGGTTGAAAGACATACAACATGTACTTGTTTATCATATGTCTCATCTTGTAAAATGTTGCATAAATCCACTGCTTTGCAAAGCACCTTGTGGCCAAGAAAGATGTGTTCTGTGGGTACAATGGGCTTACTTTTCTGTTTATATGCAAGTTAAGTACACGATTTCTATTTTTTTTTCTTTCTTTCTTCTCAAAATCTAAGTTGATTATTATATCAGATACTTATCCTGAAAAGGTGGAAAAATAAATAATTGTGCCCCATCTGTAAAGTTCTCTATAGTCTGCCTTTGTTTTTCAGAAGTACTTTCACAGTACTGATATATTGCTTGTCTCCCTGAGCCATAATTTCGTAGAAGTTCTTATTCTTAGGGAGGTGTCAAAGTTATTCGGCATGATACAGTAGCATTCAGAAATTTTGTCCTAGTCCATCTTCTAGACAATACAGCAATGCAGGCATTCTCTCCTTGGGAGATTTGGGCTTGTTCTGGAAGCATCTCAGTATACCACACGTGTTCAAAAGCATTTGCTGAAATGTAGACTGACTGGAATATGGGATAAACATTCTGTTCAGTGGTATGTTTGTAAGGCAATGATAAAGCTGCTTTCTTTGGCAAGGGTGGCCATCATGTGGCATGTTCTCAGAACGTTGCATAGATCAGATTACACCACCGTGTCACTTGCAGGTACAAAGGAAGACTGGTGGAAGGAATCCTTCATTTAATCCTCACTGTGTTTCTAGTCTCAGGTAGGATTCTGACTTGAACTGTCACTCTCTTCCTCTATGCATCAGTAGTCTTGTTATTTGTCAGTTGTTCCCTGTCAGCCATGTCATCTTGAGGAGGTCTAGCTCTGTCAAAGAAGCCACACTGCAGAAAACAACAGAAACAAAGGCATCATGGTAAGACAACCACAGGAAGACTCAGCTGCAGTTTGATTCTTCACTCAGTCAACCTGAAAGGTCGGGCACAATGTATGGCAGGCTGATTGAAGTTTTTTGCTTCTATTCGAACCATTCCCTCTGAAAAATCAAAGTTTTAGGTGCAAAGCGTTGGGTTCCGAAGTATAGCTTTAAAAATTCAAATGAAAGCTGTCTTTGCAGAAGATGTAAATTTGGTCTGAATGCTGATACTGACTCTAATGAGAAAACTGCTAAATTCTGTTTAGCAAGACATTCATTCAGAAAAGATATTTAGATTGACAGTCAGTAATAATAACAGAGGTGGAAATATGTGCTGTACACAGACCTCTCACCTGACTTTAACTGCCTGAAAGTTACCCTTTTGGTTGAAAGTTATATAGTCTTCACAAGAGGTCAAAGGAAAGTACCACCAAAAGGTAAGTCCTCTCACCTTCTCATGTTTTAGACATAGCTTTTTGCTGTTGTTGTTAATTGACTAGGTGAATCTGGAAATTTAGCATAGACTGGACACCTAACCCCTAACCTTTAGGCAGCTCAAGGCAGATGAGCCATATCCCAACTTAAGAAAGACATTATTTTACTTATTTTTTTTAGTGGGAACTGGGAGGATGGCTGAAAGCTACATTGGCTCCCTGTAACATTGCGGTTTCCAGTCGCTTTTTTAAAACTTTTGAAGAGAGTGTAATGACCAACAGAGAACTAGAAAACTTTAAAAACAGAAGATATGACATACTAATATAAAAGGAAATCTTCTAAAAATTAATTCTTAAAGCTGGGAGTGTTGTTACATGCTGACAAAAACTGGAAATTCCTGAAGTATTCAGAGAAAACAAAGTTAGAGTCACTTCTTTTTAAACCTAAACATCCTGAAAAAGAGGATCATAGGTCTTGGGAAACAGAGCCAAACTCTGTATGCCCATTTATAACCAGAGTTTTATAATAAAGGAGGACTTTGAAAACAAGTTCCCTGCATAAAGGTCAGTGACACTAGCATGTCAGAAATGCCAAAACAAAGAAGACACATGTGTATTCTTGCTTTTGCTCCAAACTGTTAAAGAACACAGTATTCCAGCCTCTCTTTTTCTTATCCATTATTATCTTCTAGTATTTTTCTGGGTTTTTTTAAGGCAACAGTAACAGTAATAATACAACATACCTTCCATAAAGCTAGGGTCAACATAGCTAGTACCAGTAGTCCAAGAAGTATTGCTAGTATTATAACCCATAAAGGGATTACAAAGGAAACATTTGGAGTGGACCAAATAACAGACGTTCTGATCTGAAATGAAAAGAATACATTAGATGAACAAAAATTAAACAAGTAAAGCAAATCTCACAGTAGAATACAGAGGTTATAAGCGTTCCCTTCAATAGCATTTTGTAGATTAGAAACACACATTGCTTGAAATTCTCCCACTTTGGCTTCTTTTACTGCAAGTTCCTTTCCACTTGTTCATGATAATTACTATAAATGGGATTTGTACATATACAAAAGTTGTATCAGACATACAAATCATTTTCACATAATACTGAGTAGTGAAAAATACCCTTCTGTGCAGATGCTTCAAGAAAATTCAAGGAACAAAGTTCAACTCACGTGTATGCTGGTACAGCCTAGGCAGTATAACTGACGTACGCTGAATTACTCTGAAACAATGGTTGACTTCAGCCCAAACTCTTAATTAGAATCACAATAGATACCAGCTACATTATTCTTATTTTATTTTCTGCTGACACGCCAGTATACATTTTTTCCTGTGACTTGTGTTTCAGCTAAGCAGTCCAAAAATGACACTCAAGCAGAGTGCATTGTCCTTGTGATAAATTCTAATTTACAGTACGATGTTACGCTCCTCAAAAGTAAGCCAAGCATATGGACTATTACCTAAATGGGAAATGAGCATGAAATGCTCTCTGTCATTGTCTGAGGCTCTAGAAAGAAGTAGGTGTGTACAACATGAGTTATCAAAGGTTTTAATTGACTTGGCAAACGTTTCTCTTTAGACTTTCATCTTGACAAAGAGTAATAATAACCCTTCTGTATTTCGCCTTCTGGGGCCATCCACACAAGTAACGTCCTCCTCACTTTCCCTTCCATAACTTGTACCAAATTTATTCTACACTCTCAGACTCCATTTGGAAGGCTCCTCATCAATCTCACTGAATATCTGTTCTCTCTCTGCCACTCCCAAGTGGGAAAGAATGAGTTTGAGCTTTCCTTAGCTCCTCAGCCACAATTACGTCCCTTCAGTTTTAGTTTATTTTTTGTCAAACTTTCCTCTTTATTGTTAGCTTAGGAAGTTATTTCTCTCTGGGGTTTTCTGTTGGACCTCTCCCATTTACTCCTAGTCTCCCTTAAACAGGGTAAGTATGTGACAGATGAAAGTTATTTTCTTCATGACAAGATGAAATCAATTTGCAAAGCAAACTGATTACACAAATTCTCAACTGATCTTCCTCTTCAGTGCTCAAGGTACAGCTAGGAAATCTACTCTTCTCAATAAGTTTCTTGGCTATTGCTCAGTCCCTGATCAGCACTCGTTGCAAATTCTCTTTAAACTTTTTTTTTTTTTTTAATATTAATTCATTGGTTGATGCACCTGAAATTTCGCACAATGCTAATTTGTCCATTCATGGAATAGCATCCTAAGTTTGATGACTGGACACGACTTTGTGGTCCAGTTCAAAATTAATTCAATTTCTGTGTCTCTCACTTTTCTCCTTGAAGATGGCAAATTTCAGCCTTTCTGCAACATCTAGCCCTTTCCTCTCTCCTTCTCGTGATCAGCATACTTTCCTAGACTTTTCATTCTGCAAGCAACAGCAGATCTGTCTCCCAGCTACTGTCACGCTTAGTTGGAAGACACTTTGGAATGGTCCTTTCCACTTCTTCTGTGCAGCCAGCTGTCCCCTACTCTGACACAGCACTTAGAAAGATGGCAGTCTGGTGTGGTCTATTGTTGCCCATGTTTTTTTACAGTATCACTCACTGTTATGGGACACAGATCATAGTTTAAACTAGGGACAAACTTTCAATGTGGGATACCACTTGCCTTCTACCTAAGCTTACACTGAGGGTTACATGGAAAATTCTGAGACTCCTTCTGGGGTTAGCACTTCCACATTGACCTGTACCTTGAAGATTAAGTGCTTGCAGTGCTGGCCATACCATCATTGATCTAACAAACACATTCAGATGATACAATTCTCTGGTGCTGCTGTAAATAGTTATTACTCTAAAAGACTTCAAAAAGATAGCACATGCAAAGTATAAATATGCTATCCAATTAAAGCAAGAAAAAATTATTTAAATTATTTATAAAATTTAAAATTATATAAAAGCCCATGAAATCCTACTCCTGGGTCCCAGCCAATATCTTGCTGGTGTGATCAAATTATCAACTATGCCACTGCAGGGATACCATTCACTTCCCCAGCCTCCCTTTGGGTTGCTTCTTAACCACTGCAGAACTTCATAGGCTCTCTGTATCATTAGATTCAGCAAGACTAGTGCTTATTTAGCAACAACAAAATGTTTTGTTTACAGATTTCTTAAGACAGTATTTGACTGAACCACAGCTGTCTCCTTGGGCACCAAGTCCACTTTCATCCAATCGAAGGCAACTACTCCAGGAACATCAGTGCTCTCAGACAGGGGTAAGCTAAGATGCTGCCTGGTGTTGTCTAGGATCTGAATTGCTCCTACAGCTGCCTACTGATTGCACAGGAGCACAGCAACTAGACTCTTAACTAATGTGCTTCAGTTCACTGCTCAAAATTAGGTGGGATCAATCCAGACCTCAAAGCATGATTGAGGTCAGAAACAGTCGATTTCATTAGAGATGGTGGATTTCGTTAAGCTTTGGATAGAGCACCTATCAGCATGGATCCAGATAAGGACATCTGGGTCTTCCTGATGACACCTGTAACCAGTAATGAGTGGTGTAGCAGTGCTCAGCCTTGCTTGTGCTGCATGGGTTCATAATCCTCTCTCCATTCTTCTTTCTGTTGTTCTGCCTTTACAGACAGTAGAGTGCAATTTACAGTGTAATTCCTGCAGCTCATATGCAGCCTGACAAATGTTGAAATATAAACACAAAACCATAAACTTACAGAAGTGAAGAGCATCATGTTTACAATCCTTAGATTATCAGCAATGAGTAAAACAAACAGCAGAAATTAGGTCTATCCTGAAACAAGCAGAATGCTGCTGCAAAGCTGCCACATCTCTCTTCTGTTGTAGTGGGAGTGAGGACAATGGCAAATGAAATATTTGCCTGCAGAAATCTTAAAACCATCTTGTGTCACCTACACCCTTTACCCATGAATCCTTCTTTGTCTTAGGTTTTTGAAAGCAAGGGAAGTGTTGTGCTAAGTGCTCAAGATTTATCTCCTGAGCAGATGATTAAGTGTAGTTGTCAGTCTCACTCCTGCCTGTGTGCATTACCAGTAGAATATAATGCCCCTGGGCTGCCTCCTTTTATACTCTGTACAAAGACTTGCAGGGCTGCTAATGCAATTCCTGGTGAACAGTTTGACACTGCAAGTCCTGAACACCCACAGAGCTGAGGCAGAAGCTGGAGGGGAAGAAAGAAACAAAGCATCCCTTCAGTTTTGCCTGCCTCATTTCTACAGAACACTGTCCCTCCTCCACCCCATGCTGTCCACAACAGTTTTACATATGATTTTGATTTAAAACAAGTTTGCATTATTCAGCTTGGATTTCTGTTCTTCTCCATGTGGTAGGTTTAGTACTGCAGGATCAGAGCCAGGGAATGTTTTGGAGGGGATTTATCTGTTTTCATCTGAGGTGGCCAATATGAAGAGGTGGAATTTTTACACAAGTGTTGCATGTTGGCACTGTAGATGCCCATTGGCTTTCCTCTCTGTTCAGGGCTGGAAGACTTTCTTATACTGAACACTGAAAGCACTGGTTGCTTCTCTGTCAGGCTGGTGAAAAGCACATCTCACATCTCTCAGACGTGAGAGGAGCCACACTTCTGAAACTCTCACACCTTTTGTATGCAAAGGGGTGACAAGGAAGGAATGCCACCTGGCTCAAGCACTGAGATGAGGGTGAAGCCAACCAGAGAGTTATGAACAGAGCCTTTTTCTGCTGTTGGAAATAAAATCCAAGCTGGTCTTAGCATGGATGCTGTCTGATAGTCTTAACTTCAAAACCACATGAAAGACACTTGTTGCTCATGAAAGTATTTCTACGGGGGGCTTTTATTTTCCTTTTTTAAAATGTGCTACAGTTAAGCACACTGCAAGTAAATAAAAGAATTATTAGGTTTTTTTGCTGCTAATTTTGGTAGTTCATTTTTTGCTCCTGATTTTGGTGATACTCAACATAACTTCAAAATTTTCTTTGATTCCAGGGGAAGGCAGCACAATGGAGAGAAGAGCATGTGTGGTCAGCTGCCAGTTCATCAGCAGGACTTTGTGGATGGATGGAAATTAGGTTTGCTGGTGCAAACATCCAGCATCTAGGGTCAGATTTCAGTTCCTGCTAGTGAGATTCTCACAAAGCTATTTTTTCCCTCTTGTCCTTTAAAAAAACATACCTTAAAAAATAAAAGTAACTCCTACATAATTTAATCTGCCACTTTAAGAAACAGTAGCTAAATTGATTATTATTCTAATGCTACTACTTTTATGGCCCATGATGACCCTCCTCTAATCTTTAGTTATTTTGCTTACAGAGTCTGAGAAACGGGAACTCTTTAAGTACTCCTACATGTTCCCATCTAACCTTTGCAGCATGATGTTCTTGTATGCTCTGAAAAAATGCTCAAAATAGAATGTAAAAGGTCCCTTGGGCTTGGAGTCGTAATTAATATTGACATTTATGTTTACACTTTACAAAAGTTTGTGCAAATATATTACATAAGGAATACGACCACATGTAAAAAGAAAGCGCTATCACCATGTAATAGCTAAAATAAAGTTATAAGCCTTAGTCTGAAACTAATTTTTCTCACTGTAGGACACTGGTCAAACAGTGTAGACTAAAGGCATCCCTTCTGAAGATCCTATCAAACATTTAAGAAAAGCAATCACATTTTATTAAACTCCAAAAGGGGCTCAAGAATCACCAATTAAAATGGAACTGCTTATTCTAACTTTTATAATAAAAAGTACTATTTCACCTTGCATATGAAATTCATCAAGTAGGACAGTATTACTTACCATAATTAATACCTCTAAGAATAAATGTAATTTTTCTCTTGAATGACACAGCTGATAGCAAGGAAATCCAACCAGTTGTACAATATATAGTTGTAACTCCAAGATTATAAAAATTAATAGAAATACTTTTCTTGATGTCAGTGGTTTTAACTTCACTAAGTTCCAAGCTAATTTTCTGTTAGATGCCATTTTCACTTTAATGTTTTACTATAACAGATACAAATTTTCTTACATTTACATAACCTTTCACACATCTGTGTATCATGACTCTCTCTTCAAGATATAGACCTATATTCCATGATGATGATGGAAATAAAGACCTCAGTGCTGCAAATATGACCACATGACCATATAGGTTACCAATGTGTATGGGATTACTCATGCAATTAAAATTAAATATACATATCAGTCTGCATAATTGGAATCCAGCATTGTATAAATTAAATCAAGGACATGTTCTGTTCTTTTAGATTATATTATCTTCACTATATAAACTGTAAAGTGTTAGCTAATTATTAAATACATACCTTTGACGATTAATTTTAAAATATTAACATTTTTATTTCATTTACACCCTTGCATTGTCTGAAAGAAAACCATAAACTTCCAAATAAACCTTTGGAAACATTTAAAATGCAACCAGTGATCATTTTCAGAAGGAGCAAAAATATTAAGCATTGCCAACTTCAAGCAAATATTTCTTCTTGCAAGTGGAACATCAAAAGAGCTTGTGCATATAACACATCAAGCTGTAGAGCTGGCAAGCATCCACTGCCATGTCCAGATATGAAACGACATAAAAGTGCTATCATTTTTCAACATTTTACAGTTGCCATTACAGGCATTTTGCTGTAAATCATCTGCAGCAAATAACACACATTATACTGGCTGGAGTAAGAGAATAAAATGCTCATCTGATCATTTGGTAGATCATCTGACACTTGTTGAGAACAGCAGGCTATCACCTGGGGTAAAGCACTTCAGTCCAGATGAAGGCACCACTATCAACAGAGTTCTGCACAACATGTGTTTCTGGTATGGAACACATGCTGCTAGAAAATAAAAAGAGCCTGAGTGTATCTGTCAGACTGGAGCCTTTGAACCTTTCTGGATGAGTACTGCATTAAGCATCAAATCGTGGTTCTCCTGACGTTAGAAGTTGGAGTCACTGGGCGTATAGGACCAAGATTTCACCTTGTGTCTTCCCAGAGCAAGTATCAATCAACCATTCAATCTCTGTTTGTCCAAAACAAAACTTTATAGACTGTATCCTCTAAAATATATTCAGCATAAGCTGTAAAGTGTTTTATTGTGTTGCTTTTCCATAGAAGAATATATTCTGCTCCCTGCTACTAAATCTCAACAGACTGATATGATGTATTTACACCAGGATTTAACTTGGAAAAGTTTCTACTGAGCTTACTTTTTAAAATAAGTACTGTAAATGATGAATCTTTATAAAGATGAGAACAATAAGCCTTCAAATTTTAGATTACTCTTACACTAGAATGAAATTTTGCACTCACATTTTACTTATTTCCACCAGTAATGAAAAAATAAAGTGAATTTTAACCATGGTATTAGACACCATAAGAAGCAAATTCCTTTAAATTGCTCCCCAAACTCAATACTTTGGCACCAGCAAACAATTAAATCAAACTTATGCCTCCAAGATTAATTTTTCATATAATAACCCAGAGCCATACAGATCTTGTTCTGCAAATAAGGCAAGTGTTTTAATATCTATCACCTCAATTACCAGGTAATTTCACATCTTGCACTTGATGTGCAAGGTGGAAACCCTAGAGAGGCATGCAGACCTTTCTGAAAATCAGGGTATCAAAGAAGCTTCATACAGATAAGAGAGAAGTTGCCGTAGACAATCCATAAGCTTGTGTGAAAGAACTGCTGATTGGGAGAACAGTGAGACCTCTCAACCTGACAAAAACAGGATTTTGTATTTTGCATAGAAATTTCCTCCAGATTTTTTTTTACCCCAAAGAACGTAAGCAGACACTTGTTTTCACTGTTTTGTTGTTTTCTTCTGGGTGAAAAATCCACCCTGATTGCAATAAAGCAGTCTGCATTTTAACACAGCAAGAAATTATTTAAAAATTGAATTAGTGTCATATTTTAGCAACTCCACAGAAAGCAATAGAGGTACTTCCTTTAGGTATTATTTCAGGAATTTACACTAGAAACACAGGAAAGACTGATCTCAATATTTTAATCTATAAAAACTTTCACATCTGCGATGAGAATGACCAAATATGTGTGCTTCACACAAAGATATAATTTTCAGTTACTTACTGCTATGCTTCCCTCGGGGAGGTTTGCTGGTTGCACTTTATATGGCATGCTCTTAACTTTGAAGGACACATTGGAAGAAAGAGTATAGAGATCATTCTTTCTCTGAAATTATATATATAAAAAGGAAATTATTAAACCACATGTTTATTCTTAAAAGCATTATGAGAAATAAGCAGAGAAAAAATGTAGAGCACTGATTTCCTAAGAAAAAGATGGTTTCTTTTGGTAAAGGGTACAGCAATCCTGGGACCTGAACATGTCCACAAGACAAACATAATACAGCATAAAGCTGAAATACAGAGACCACATGTTCAAATGGGGAAGAAGGGTTAGAGATGCAGAAAGACACATACAGTTGTTTCTCATATTTCTCTCTGAAATAGGAGACTGGTGAGTTGGAAGCAGGGGGGAGGTTTATGGGGTGTCTATGTTTTAAAACCTTGCCTCTGCTCAGCAAGCCCAACAACAAATGTGGGTATCTTGAGAAGATTTCCAGGCCTATGTTGAGACCAGGCTGGTAGAGCTCCCTGATGGCATCAAAGGAACGGCTGTGCTTTCCCATCAAAGAACAACAACAGGAGCAAACATCTTTGCGCTTCACTTGGAGTGTGATTGATTTCCTATTGCAGTAGAGCTCAAAAAAACCCAGAACAATTCACCTTGCTTTTTTACTAAATTGTGCAACTGCAATAGGATTATATAGCCGTCATTGTTTAACTGGCTGCCTACTTATGTAGCTCTCATTAAGCATTTCAACAAACCCAAAAATGTGCAGACAAGACAAATCTCTCTGTCAGTTCTCTGTGTTTCATTTATACTTGCTTGTATTTCTAAAATATTATTAGATTAGGTTAGATTAGGCATTACATTCCCTGGTTCAGGATGACTAAAAAGCTGCTACATCATTTAGTCCATGCTGTGACTTTTAATTAGTGCCTTCACCTCATTGGGAAGCCAGGTAGGCACTGACGCACTACATCTGACCAACTGTCTGTCTCATTGTGCTGTTCTGACCTTGACAATGATCTCCCACTTTGTGCAAACTGCTTTGAAATGAAAGTTAAATGCTGGAAAAATATCTATCTAAATCTGTTATGAACTGGCATAATCACTGAGACACGAAAGTGCATGTGCCTTAAAAGAATCTTAATTGCAACATTTACTACAATGGATACAAATATTTTCGGCACACATATTTTGAATCCTGTTGAGCTCTTGGCATCACTGGTATCTAACTGGAGTTAGTTTTGGAGACTATAATCAGGTATCAAGTAAATCTTTCAGTTCACTTTGAATTCAGTTCAATTTAACTGAATGTTATTTTGTTAGAGACAGAGGACCCTGCACTCGAACGATGTCCTCTTTTTCCTTGTTTTTATCCCAAGGAAAGATGTCTGAGTGGTTCGTCTGGAAGACAACAAAGCAGTTTCTAATTGGATTTCTGCAACGGATATTTTGCGTGACACTACGTGCAACTAATCTTGTTTATCCCATCCCATGGAAAGTTGGGGTAATGACATGGATCTCCTTTGAAAGTGCTTTGTTATGCTGTGAAAAGCATTAGACAGTTAAATGCCAACATGTCTACTGGCATCCAAAGGACTAGGAACTATTATATCCCTTTACATTAGACTTGAGGTAAACAATTTTAATCTTTTGCATGAGGATATTTTTGAAGCCCTTAATTATTTTTGCTACCTGTCTCAATCCTTTCTGAAATATGATGACCAGAATTCAATGTAGTATTTGACTACTGATTTAGGGCCAGACAGAGCCTTGTAGGTAAAGCGATCTTTCATTTTGGCACTGGCTTCTTACGTTCCAGTGTATTTGGAACATCACTGTCACTTCCTAAATCCCTTTCTGCAAAACTCTCTCTCCTTGCTTCTGCTTCTCACACATTTAGGAGTTTTGCTCCATTGACAAGACTCAGTTCCTATGTGATTACTCAACTTCTTTTCCTCCCTGCTAGGTGGTGTCTTTCTCTGGAATTCCCTGTTGCATCACAGGCATAATCCCCCTCTAAGAATTGCTTCTCCCCTTTCAGCTGTTTTGTGCAGCAAAAGCTGAGGTAAGAAAAACCCATGATAATATGGGCTACTGTTTCTTTCCTTCACTGATGGAGAAAGATTTGTTTGTGAAGATGACCTGGAATAAGAATAACCTAAACCTGGGAGCCAACTTGGATGCAGCTGAATGACCAAGACCCAGCTCAAAGCTTTCACAGAACTACTGAGGTTAGAAGGCACCTCTGGAGATTGTCTACTCCGACCACATGCTCAGAGCAGGGTGAACTAGAGCAGTACGCTCAAGGTCCACGTCCAGTTTAGTTTTGAATATCTCCAAGAATGGAGACTCCACAAACCCTAGGAATAACGTATTTCAGTGTTTGACTGCCCTCATGGTAAAGTTTTTCGTATGTTTAAATGGAATTTCCTATATTTCAATCTGTGCTTCTTCCTTCTTGTCCTGTTACTGGATATTATTGAGAAGAATCTGGCTCTGTCTTCTTTACTTCCTCCTATCAGATGTTTATACACTCTGATAAGATTCCCCCTGAGCCCTCCCTTCTCCAGACTGAACAGTCCCAGCTCTCTCAGCCTCTCCTTGTGTAACAGACGCTTGAAGCCCTTAATCATCATTGTGGCCCTTGGCTGGACTTGCTCCTGTATGTTCGTATTTCACTTGTCCCAGGGAGCCCAGGACTGGACACAACAATCCAGATCTGACTCATCAGTGCTGAGTAGAGAGGAAGAGTCACCTCCCTTGACTTGCTGGCAATGTTCTTCCTAATGCAGCCTAAGAGGATGTCGACTTTCTTTGCTGCAAGGGCACACACAGTGGGCTCATGTTCAACTTGGTGTACACCAGGACCCTGAGATCCTTTGCTAGAACGCTGCCTTCCAGCTGGTTGGCCCCCAAGTTGTACTGGTGAATAGGGTTATTCTTCCTGTGGTAAAGGACTTTGCATTTCCCTTTGACATACTTCATGAAAATCCTGCCAACTCACTTCTCCAGCCTGTTGAGGTCCCTCTGAAGGGCAGTACAACCATCTTTTCACTTTTCTATCATCTGCAAAGTTGCTGAGAGTGTACTATGTACCATTATCCAAGTCATTAATAATGTTAAACAGTACTGGTCCCAGTTCTGACCTCTGGGGTACACCATTAATGATGGACCTCCAGATGCACTTCATGCTGCTGATCACAACACTTTAAGTCTGATGGTTCAGTCAGTTTTGAATCCACCTCTCTGTCCACCTATCTTCATTCATTTTGACAGTGTCAAAAACCATGATAAAGTCTAGACAAAAAGCAATGACTACTCTCCCCTCATCCACCAAGATGAACCTCATTTATCTCATCGCAGAAGGCTACCAGGTTGGTCGAACATGATTTCCCTGTCGTAAAGCCACACTGACAACTCTGAATCACCTTCTTGTCCTTCAGATGTTTGCAAATTGTTTCTAGGGTTTTTTTCTCCCTCACCTTCTCAGGGATTGAAACAAGGCTCACTGGCCTGTAGTTCTCTGGATCCTCCTTCCTGAAGATAGGTGCAACATCTGCTTCCTTCCAGTCCTCAGGAACTTCCCCCAGTCACCATGACCTTTCAAAGATAATTGAGAGTGGTCTTGCATTGACATTGCCCAGCTCTCTCAGCACTTGTAGGTGTACACCATCAGGTCCCTTGGACTTTTGTATGTCCGATTTGTTTAAATGTTCCCCTAACCTGATATTCCTCCACTGAAGGTAAATGTTGATTGCTGCAGGTTTTCCCTCTGGTCACAGAGGCCTTGGATTACTGTATGCAGATTTTACCAGTAAAGATCAAAGTTAAGGAGGCTGTGAGGAACTCAGCTTTTTCCATATCCCATTCAGCAGAAGTCCCATATTTTCCTTAGTCTTCCTTTTGCTGCTGATATACTTAGAGAAGCCTCCTTTATGTCCTTTACATCTCGTGCTATGTTCAGCTCCTGGTAGGCTTTTACTGTCCTATCTCTGTCCCTGCATGCTCGGGCACTGTCTCAATATTCCCCACCCAGCCCCTGCACTGGGTCAAGTGACAGTGCTTCCATCTCTTTTATGTTTCTTTCTATGTTTGAATTTTACCAGGAGCTCCTTGTTCATTCATACAGGCTTCCTGCCACCTTTCCTTGACTTCTTGCGTGTCAGGATGGTTGGTTCTTGAGCTTAAAGGAGGTGTTCCTGGAGAATCTCTAGTTCTCCTGGACACCTCTCTTCTCTGGGATCATATGGAGTTCTTCCAAGCAGATCCCTGAAAAGGCTGAAGGCTGCTCTCCTGAGGTCCAGTGTTGTAGTTCTGGTATTTGCCTTTTCCGTTCTGTCTTCTTTTTAAAAAACTAGTGTTTTCTTCAAATATGTGAGTGTTTACTGGTGACATGAAGACAGCACATTTATTGCCTTCTGGAACTCAGTTGGCTATGCCATAATTTTGTTCTTTTAAAATATTGAGAACAGATGAATATTTATTATCAGAACACTGAACATCTCTTTGGGGCTTATATTTGGAATAAGCAATATGAAGAAAACTGCCTCAAATAACTACATAGGAATAGTCAAATCAGCTTCTTAACATAGATGGCATCTAATGAAAGGGAACTACCTTTTCTATCAACAGTGTTTGAAATAAAAAATTTTATGAATTTAACATTGGACTTGGCAAATAGGTATTTTTAATACACTTTCAGGTGCTGAACATCTATGAGAGTCTTCAGAAAAATATTTTTTCCTTATCACACTAATTATTTTCTATTTTCAGACTCAAGCCATTCTTGATCTTTTATTTTACACTAGACTTCTCACAAAAAGTTCCAGCGTGTTTCTGTAGTTGTGCAATGATTTGCATTCAGAAAAAAAAAGCCTGAAAAAAAGTCATGTTTTCAATTCTAAGCAATTAATATTAAGCAGAATTTTGGATATGATTTATATGATTTATAAAAGTAAACTGCAATAGACAGAAAAGGATATGTTATATTATTAAAGAAGTAGACATTAGACATGCAGCCTGATTAGCTAAGGTACAGTAAAGGCATAACTCTCTTGAAACATCTTATAAAGGAAACAGCACTCACAGAAAAA